GCAGAATCCCGACACGCGCAATTCACTCGCACAAACAACACAAACATCTTGCCACAACACGTGGAAAACGAGCGTGACGAACCCCTTTTGACATACTAAGATACAAAGACAGCTTGACTGTCATACCAATCGTGACGACACGCAAAAACAACAATAGTATACCAGAAACCAGAACCTAGATCACTCACCAATAAGCCTGTATAACTTCTGAACCCATAAATCAAACAGGAGCCTCCCTGCCTGGAGACTGTGAGGGTTCTCTGTGTCTCCCTCTATCCCACCCAGCTCGCCGATATCTGTCGCCGTCTTCTTGGTGGTGGCCTCGGATGCTCAGAAGTTCGAAGCCAAGAGGCCCAGGGTGCAGGCGCTCAGGGTTCAAGACTGCCGGGTGTGCGTTTACATGTGAATAGATGGGTATGTAGTAGATGCCTGCATGAATGCCTGAATGAACCACCAGCATACCTGAGGATCCCAAAACTCTCAACAAGCCTGAGAACTCTGAGCCCTTTGTGTCATTGAAGTAGGCAGTTTCTGGGTTGAGGCTTTGGGGCTTTGATAGGCTTTTCCGTTGTCGGTTGACGAAGGCTGGGGGCATGACGCTGTCGCAACTCGAACATGCCAGACAAGGTTTAGGCCTTCAGGGTGTCCTGGATTTAAAAGTTCAGCCCAGCCTTTCTGGAGAACTTGAGCCGCCCAAATCCACCGAGGAGACCGGTTGAGGTCCCACCTTGGCAATCGGGGGACCATTCTCCTCGTTCCTTATTCAGCCCGTAACATACACACATATATGTAAGTATTCGCCCAAACATATGTTTTTACACGCATGTAGAAATGTACTTTCGGAAGTATATATATATATGTATTTAGGGTGTATATAAACAAAAGTGCGTATACATGTTGAATATACGTGCTGTTGCGTACGTATATGTTTGCTGTTCGGATATGCACATGTATATGTGTCTATGTAGATGGAAACCTAGGTGGAACCCCTATACAAAAGCAAATGTATATAGGCATGTGTTTATGTGTGCATGCATGTAAGCACATATGTATGTATGTATGTATGTATGTACGCAGAGAAGTATACATGGAACTACGTAGGTGTACATATCTATGTCTGCTGTACGAACTGCACAAAACAAGATCAGTTTGCACGTGAGCCATATGTATACATGTATATGTATATGTACATATACATGTACATATATATATATATACATATGTATATGTGTATATTTATATATATATATATATATATACAGAAAATGACACACTACAGGCCCCAGTTTTTCATGCCATGTTAAAACAAGAAAACACGTATTTCACTGCAAAGACGCGGGCCTGCATTCCGTCACACGCACACACACTCTCTCTCTCTCTCTCTCTCTCTCTCTCTCTCTCTCTCTCTCTCTCTCTCTCTCTCTCTCTCTTTCTCTATACATATATAAATGAATAAATAAATAAATATATATATATATATATATATATATATATATACATACCTTCATAATCCTTCATATATATATATATATGTATGTATATATATAGACATACATATATATATACATACATACATACATATATATATATATATATACATATATATATATATATACATATTTGCACGTACGCATGCACACCTTCGTGTGTTTGATCCTTATCATACCTGCTGCCTTCGGCTATCTTTCCGAACTCCCCGTTCCCACCCCCCACCAACAACACTCCCAACAGTCAGCGGGGAACCGGTGATCTCCCGCTCTCGTGGACGACCAAGTTCTAAGCCTCAGATCTTGCGGTTTCATAGCAGGTTTTACGGACTTAGAACTGCTAAATGAGGGTGCTACTGTAGGGTTGGAGCAAAAGGATTCGAAGGCTTTGCTCGGGGTTTGTAGGAGATTCCTTCTGTTAGGGAGGTCCTTGCGCAAAAGGATCCTCCTACTGCTGGGAGTCTCTAATGGGCCCCCTGTTTTGCGAAACTCCTATCTGCAGGCCAACGACTCAGGAAAGTAATTAATATACGATCCCGTCGGTCTGCCCTTGAATTAATCACAGCACCTGCCCGATGCCCTAAGCGAAAGACCATGCCGCCACCACCAACTCTTCACTATTCGTGCGCTACCGCTGCTTTGTCCACCCATGCCAAGAGCCAGGCTTTCTTCGCCTTCGCCTGCCTTTCTCAATACGGAGGTTCTACAGTAAACCCCATCAAGTTGGAAACCGGATTAAGGCCAAGTAGTGCTGGGATTCCCTATAGATGACTCTTGAAAATTGAGGCTATTGGGTTTCCAACTTTTGGACTTCTACTGTATAAGGCTTTGGAGAGGTGATGAAAGTTTTTCGTGCAGCTGCAAGTAGGGCCTTTGCTCCACATTGGATTGACCCATCTTCGCAGATGGTCGGAAGTATCACGCAAAGCAACTACAACTATGGCCGAGAAGGCTCCGGGCTGTTCTGCGGGTTAATAATCGCTTTTTCGATAGCTGCTGATTACAATCACAACTCTAATTACTCCTACAGTACTCCTCATGATGCAAATGGACTTTGCACGCGAATACGACTGCAAGCAGACTGCCTTGGTACTCTCTGGACAAGTCCGGAAAGTATCACTCACAATGACAAGTATGACGACATATGAATGCACATGAAGGTGCCCATTAATGTGTTTGCTGGAGGTATTACCAAAGGCAGTAAAGGGTTACATTTCATGCGATAGTGCGCTGGCACAACGGTGAATGTTGCACAGTGGGCTGGTTGGCGCCTCACCGTTCGACGAGCGTCGAGCCTGCAAGCAGCAGGGCCAAAAGTCTTGTCCCTCTTTCATGAAGGACAACCACAGCGATGATGACGACGACCACAGCAACCCTGACTGCAACAATCACGGCAAACGACGACAACAATACTAAGAGTACCACCAACAGCAACAATGGCATCAACCTGACAGAAGCGACGACCCATGCAGCCGAGCAGCTATCTTTGCCCCGGGGCCAGTCTGGGCCAAGCAACGAACAACCTGTGCTCAATCTCTACGCAGACTACATCCAATGCGCAATACAAAAAATATATTAAGATCCTTGCGATTATGATTCTGTCGGGGCAATCGTAGTAACACAAGAAGTGACAAGAAGTCGGGAAGACGGTCGGACTATCGTAAAGTGCTTACTTGGTAATATCAGTCCGAGTCAAGAAGCAACAGGCAGGAGCATGGCAATCAAAGAATTGAATGATTGAGTGGGTGGCATTCTCCTGCCGGTCTTGAAGAACTCGCCGTCTGGTGGTTCAACAGAAAGCGCATCACACAAACAACAACTGGCAAACCCCACAGTCCAGAGAGTAGAAGTGATGTTGAGCCTGTCAGACTCCAAGATGCAAGCAGACGTATTTCTGCAGAACGGAGGAGATTGTCAAAGCTGATCCCTTGTCACAAATGATGAACAACTCATGGACAAGCTGAGTCGGCCTGGGACAATCCCACACATGTCCGAGCTTAAACATCCATGACACAAGAAGCAGCAGAAGTAGTGGCGGTAATAGCAGTATTGGTACTCGTCGTCTTGTAGTCGTGGCCCCGGTCAGCAATCAAAATCGTCGTCGATACGTCCTCGAATGAATTATGCCCTACTGTAACCGCAATCAGTTATACGACTTGATGCATGGCGTTTGCTGGGCTTCCGGCACACTGCACCTCCACCTTCAAAACATACCTGCAGGTGCTGGGCTCGCCCTGTGTCAGGTTCTTGTAGGCGTGTTTTGCGACAAGCGGTCGCGACAGCACCAGAGTTCTTCAAGGACTAAGGATGAAAGTCGCGTAGACCTCATCCTCATCCCATGCCTAACCGAGTCAATCAACCACGTAACGTGGCAGGCGGCTTTTTGAAGGTCCCGCAGTATGGCGTGCCGCGAACAGCCCGGTAGACTCTCCTGTCGGTACTCAGCGACCCTACTACGAATACAACCCTAAAACATGGGGGTCCTTCTTATGCCCAGGGCAATGAAACGGCCCTAAACATAGGACCCCGAAATACGAGAAACGGACATCGACTTCCAGGCTTCGAACGGGCGGCCGACTTCTGTCGGAGCTGGTGGCTTCTTTGGCCAGGAGCTCGCCTTGAATGCCTAGAAGGACTGTGTACATATCGCGTGTGGGCCATTGAAAGTTGAGAAGTCTTTCTGTGTTTAGGGGCCACCTGGAGGTTCACAGTGCAGTGGATGGATGAGCGGAGATGTAAGGTCTTTGTGTGAGTTTGGACACGTGAGAAAATAATCATATTTGTACAGATGCATATGTTGCAGCTTGCGCGATTTACGCCACACAAGCATGTATAGACTCATGTGCACGCCATTGCTGAAACATCCGGTTATGTGCTGGATGTGCCTGAAACTGCGTGTGTGTGTGTGTACTGGTCTGCCAAGTGCAAAACCTAGTTGTCACTTTGTGTTTTGTTGGTATTGGTTCATGCGTGTACACGTATGTCTGAACATTGACTCGGTATGCCCCAAATGAAGTGCTGGAAGTGCAAACAAATGCATACGCGTGCGAGTATGCTTTATGCAGCTTTTGGGAAGGTCTGCATGTGTGGATACGCATGCACGGAGATGTATACTAGGTGGGACAACTTGCAAACGTACATATACACGTATTTACATGATTATACATGTGCGCATATGTATTTTTCTATCTATCGGTGTGTATATATAAGTTTATCTATACAGGTGCGTGCAAGTGATGTTGGTTGGTTGACTGCCCATCTGTCTAGCTGCCTAACCGAGACTTTTGTGTCCACGAGCAAGAATGTGCCCGTCTACTTGTCTTTCTGAACAAACTTTTCTTCGAATGCTTACGTGTACATAGATGTACGCGTCAGGCTGCCATTCAGACCATGCATTTGCTCCTCTTTGCACTCGGCTGGAGACTGCTTGGCAGCTCGGGCTAGTGGGCGCGGCTAGTGGGGTCTAGGGACTGAAGACCACAGGCAGTCTTGAAGTGACACGACACCTCACTTCTAAGGCGTCTGAGACCTCATGAATGGATCTGCCAGAAGGCGGCGGTTCAGCGTCCCTGCGGCCCGAGCCCGGTCACTCCGGTGCCGAACCAGGAAAAGGATCAGGGGGATGAGTGCGGTGAAAGTCAGTGTAAAGATCATCAGGACCTGCATCGTCAGGCAACGGCTTGTTTTTGGGGAACTTTATGTTCTTGCAGCTTGCAGACGATGATACCTGCATTCAGCAAGCTGGGTTCAATCAGCACGGGAAGCGCTTCTGAATTTTGGCCAGTCGTTTCCTTGCTTTACACCCCTTGTCGCAAAACCGCCGCACTTCTACACACAGTTCTACTCGAAGTGGTTGTCCATCTCAGGATAAGTAAGCTGCAGGGTACGGTATTTGGACAGCCGAAGTGCCTCTGGTCAGCATTGCCTGTGATTACATCGGTTGCCTCAGTGCGTGTTCCGGTTCCACGTCAGCAGCTGACTGTCCCTTTGGAAACCGGACTCGATGACTGCCAGCAGCTGACACAGAATCTTGAACCTGTTAACCCGAAGCCATCAAAAATGTTGACACTGTGCCTAAACCGCGCCTCCGTCATGGCGACTTCGATAAGAACCCACAAGCTCGGCTGATTGAAACCTGTCCATGAACCAGTGGGGACATGTAGGGATCCTACTAGGGTGCCATGTTTTGTGTTCATATCGTATAATATATGCCATGTATGCCCCAAACCACATTGAAAACAATGAAGGCACCTGTATCAAAGGGCTTCTGGTCGGGTCTGGGGTTCGGGGTATGTCTTCAATTTCGCACTTGTCAACCGTTTATGAAGTGCCTTAGGCTTTAAGCTCTCGCAACTCAGGTTCTCAGGGCGAGGCTAGGCTTAGGCCTGGGTGTGGCGCTCACACTCGGACAATAGGCTTCGTCTAGTATATTTCATTTTGTCTTTGTTTCTGGCAACTCGCACAAAGAAGGCAAGGATTCACAACCACTTCAAAGCACATCGAAGGTAGAGGAGAAGCCTACTGTAACCCCCACACAACCAGACATCGGACAAAAGAACCCTCGCCCATTTCCCTGCCTGGCCGAACCGGCTGCTCGTTCTTCCAGCCCCCTGCTGCAGTCTATACTAACTTCACTCGGGTATTACAGGGCATGTATGGGGGAGTGTATATGAGTTTAAGATGTCCAGGTTCTCGGTGTACAAGCTGAGTGTGCGTTTAAGCATGCACGCATATGTATATATATATATATATATATATATATATATATATATATATATATATATATATTTATACTTATATTATATATATATATATATCGATTATTTACACGTGTATACATATATACATGCATATATATATATATATATATATAAACATGCCTATAAACGTGTATACAATACACCTGATCCTGTCCGCTCGGCGCCTCCCAGATCGGCCACCGTGACTTGACGAACCTCAGGAAACCGAGGACCTCCCACAAGGCTGTAGGGCCTCAGCTCCGTGACAGCATCACCCAAACTGTTGCCATCAGTCCCATCATACACTTTGAACCGCCACGACAAGTTCGCGCCGAAGCAAAGCGATACATAGAATGCGAGATACCCTAAATCCCCAGAAAGAACAGCGTACAGTACATTTCCCAAAATTCTTTAAGAGTAATGTATAGGGAATCCCAGCACCATTGGGTTTTAATCCGGCTTCCAACTTCATGGGGTATACAGTAAACCTCAACAGCAGCCACGAAGCGTCACACCAGGAAGCAGCACGATCATCCTCGGGCACATGGTCGCATAGAGCAAGTGCGGCTGCTATGCTTGAAGCCAATGCGCAGCTGATTCTCTCCTACTCTCGCACTCTCGCTTTCACTCTCACTCTCCCTCCTGCTCGCTCGCCCTGGCTCTAGCACATTCTCTCTCTCTCTCTCTCTCTCTCTCGTTCTTGTGCTGTGCTTTGCATGCAGTATACGAAGGCAGACATGTATGTGGAAAAACTTGTACTTGCACGGCAACCCTGCACATTCCACCCAACGCCCACATTAAACGTCTTATGAAGAGGAAGACGCTATCATGATGTTCGCATGCCTGGCTAACACACGTAGAACACCTCGAAGGGGCGGAGACAAACTGCCCAACCAGACCGTGGTTGAGGCCCTGAGCCCTTTCTGGGCAGAACTCAACATTAAGTGTGCCTGAAATGGCTCTGTGTGTATACATACATGTATAGACAGATGCAGGCATGCATGCATGCGCACACATACCTATATGCATACATACATACATATACATATCTGCAAAGACGCAAAGATGCGAAGATGCGAAGATGCAAAGGTGCAAAGATCCATCCATCCATCCAGCCGTCCGTCCGTCCGTTCGTCCCTCCGTCCATCCATGCCGTCGTGTGCACATGCGTACACACCTGCATGCATATACCATTACATAAACGTATGAATGTGTATATGCATATACCTGCTTACAGTTACGAAAAGATATACATTCACATGTACATACACGGTTACACACATACAACGTCACGTGTATATTTTGTATGTACAGCGGTACATTCGCTAAAGACATGCACCTAGCAACCTAGCTACCTGCTTGCGTCGGACATACATACATATACACAGCCATATGCCATACAAGACAAGACAAGGCAAGACACGAGAATTCGTGAAGAACCATACACAGAAATACTGTGCAATGCAACACGATACACGACGTTAAAGTAGGGTATAAAACAAATGTACTTACATAGCATGCCTACCGACATAAACGCCTGCACTTGTGTACCCGGTTTCAGCTTTCTCAGGCACAGATCTATCCCTTCGCATCCTGGCTTTTAAACTGCTAACAGTGTCCGGCAAGCCTCAAAATATTCGTACACTTGCTTGCAGTCCCAAGCAGGTATGTGTTTGTGTTAACATCCCGCCCGAGAAGCACTAAACTGCAGAGAAGTCTCGCTGCCTCCATCATGAACCCAATTCCAGCCGAAATCACGAGCGCAGCCAGAACTATCCTTACATCAATGGGATTTTAGATCGGTAGCTTTTGCGCCTTCAACCATCTGCAAATCGCACCGAGATGGTTACAGTACTTTGCAGATGTGGCGTCAACTAACTTCAAACAAGAAAGTGGAGTTCAAGTCACGAGGCTCAACTTCAGAAGTGTAAGGCTCACAGGCTGAATCTGCCGGGTTGCAGTGGTGTCCAGCCGAAAGAACACAGCAAAGGTACCACCCGCGTGGCCCCAAAATAACCTGGCGGAGACGGAACAACAGCCTACTGATGAATACAAGCCCTGCGGCCCTAAGTTCAAGAAGTGCGATCCTAGTCCTACGGAGCACCAAAAACGGTACCCCTAATAATTGTGAGAAACCCTCTATCGCCGCCTTGCGTATTCCCAGCACTGCTAACGTTCTACCCAAGCGGTGCTTGCCTATATAAGGCTTCTGGCCTTGTCATTCAAAATCTCCAAATTACTGCCGGGGTGCATGCAGAGATTCCGGCTCCAAGTGTCAGAACTGATAGGGCCTCGGTGCGGCTCGGGATCAATATAAGCTGTTCTTCAACCGTGTGGTTCTAGCATGTACTGACTTTCCCAGACTGTCGGATAAAGTGAGTCAACAGGCTTCGGATAGAGTCAATCAATATGCTGAAGACGGCGAGCCATGACCAACTCAGAACATTGATGCGGGGTAGGCGCTCTCTCAATCTGCAGTTTGAGGATTGCACAAGTATCGTCTAGTGTTGGTACAAGCAGCGAGGATACAGCAAGGTAGAAAAAGACCCGTAATATGCCGCCACCGGTTGGCAGTGTCACAGCCATGCGAGGGGCACGGTATCCCCTCCCCCGACAGTAGTTAGCGACCTTGGCACGGGCAGCTTCGTGCTAAAGGGGCTCCGAAACCCTGAACCTGAGGATCTCAACCCAGGGATCGTGTGAAGCCCGGGCGCTGCCATCGCCACGCCTCGCAAGAGCGGATAGTGGAAAGGTGTCTCGCGCTCGCCAACGCCAGGTCTTGTGGGATCCTCACATGATCCCCGCAGATACATATTGAAGCAGGAAACTACAACATGTGTCATTACAAAACTAGCTGCCCATCACACTCTACCCCATGTGTCAGACACGTAGATGCGCAATGGTACGACCCACCCCCAACAACTATAATGTACTTGGGGGGACTCCCACCAAACCCTTACTTAATTGAACAAATTGTTCGTTGCTGTTCGTTTCTCCACGGGTCCATGACCGAAGATCTGGAATGTCCCACGGAGAACAAATGGACTGAGATTCCTACTGGGCCCGACGGGACACGGGAAAATGCACTTCGAACCCTCAGACATCGATGTAACACCACCCTTCAGGCACATTAGAGGGTGGCAATGATACACATACATAATTCAATAGACTTATGCATGCATGCAGATACGAGCATGTCTGTCTGTCCGTCTGTAGGCATGTATGTGTATGGGCATGCATATAAACAACTACAAAAGTGTGTGTGTGTGCATATATATATATATATATACACATACATGTATATAACGGTGTGTGTGTGTGTGTGTCTTGTCTTTTCGCATGCGAACGTACTCATTTCGTGTGCATACAACCACTATACAAATAGCAAATAATACGAATGTACATCAACATGTATACGTTCTTCTGTTGCTGACTTAATTTACACCATTTAGCACATACATGACAATCCAAATGTGGATGCACATGTATATATGTACAATCTGTGAATCGACCTGCATCTGTACTTGTGTGTGTGTGTGCAGGGCCCAGAAGACGCTCAGCAGTGAGCGAGCGATTGCTGTAGGCCCCAGTGCTTCGTTTCAATCGCCCCGCCATGTACGCTGGAGGGGAACAGAAGCACGTCATGAGCCATGCTGCAGGTGAACCTGCAGACGGACGGATAGCGTGGATTGCCGACACGGAATGCCACACTGTTGACCGGAAGACGTTACAGCAGCACATTCGGACAATTGTTCGCCGATGTATGCCGCTTGGAGCTATCTCAATGCGAGCCCTACGTGAGGAGCTGCAGCTAAATCTTGGGATGACCTTGGTTAGCCACAAGGCCGAGATCCGCCATCTAGCTGAGCATGCACTTGAGGAACTTACTTTGCAACAGCAGTTGGTCGCTACAGGGATATGCGATGGAGCATGGGAGCCGATTCCGATCCGCCATCTAGCTGAGCTTGCACTTCGGGAGTTTACTTTGGAACAAAAGTTGGTTGCTACAGGCATTTGCGATGGAGCATGGGAGCCGATTCCTCTTGCTTTGGGGAAGCATGCCGGGGGTCGGACCCTGTTCCATTTGCTGAGTGGCAACCAGCTCTGTGGCGGCCAGGATGGTGTACCAATCGACGATGGTAACTGGGAGCTTTTCTGCCTCGAACACAGCATTCAACCCGATGGACAAATTCCTTTGGACATGAGGCTCGGTGGAGGAGATGATGGTAGGATGGGTGCCGGTGAGCATGTGCCACCCTCTTTGGTTGTCGCTTCCGAGCCCGCAGTCACGGATGAAGTGTGCTCGGGTCCTTGTGCGCAGCATTTGTCAGGCGTGGATGCCGAGAACTACCTTGTTCGTGGGTCTGGACTGGGATGCCCTTTGCTGGAGCGTCTGCTGTTGGATTATGTGGCCGAGATCACTCTGTCTGTCCTTGGGTCTGCATTTGTGGCGGTGATGCTGTGTCAAAGACCGTTTCTGAAGCAGTGGCGACCATCAAATCTACGCGGACACCATCCACTTGCAGCGGACAGGTGTGTGGCTGGCCCCGCTGGAATGCGTTTCCACTCGCCGATGGCGGCATCAGGGGGCATACGGCGAGAGCGTTTGCATGCCGGCAGCATGATCTCCAACTCTCTGCCGAAGTCTTTCCGACATCAACCCCGAATCTGACCGGATGTATTCCATGCGGGCGAAGTCCGCGCAAATCATTGTGCAGGCTATCTTTCAGGCATTCGTGGTAGTTCATGGTGCCCTTGAAAGTACACGTTTGTTTCCCTTCAGGGTGTGACTTGCTGCCGGCAGCTGTCCCCTGATATCTTTTCGAAGACATGTGCGTGGCCGAGACAGCTTTTGTACATGCTGGTTCCATCTCGGTGCGCGTTCTCTTCTGCAGATTTCTGCTCCGCTCGATGTTATTTCCGGGCGAGTGCACACTGCTTCAACCCTGAATTCATCTTGCTAGGCGAGCGTCGTTTACCGACTCAACCGCAGAGAATGTAAATGAAATGTGTGTGTGCAGATGTAAATGTAGGTAACTGCACCTGCATGTACATACACACATGTACCTGAACCCGTGTGTACATGTAAAATTATACAAGCGTGATTGGATGCCTACACGCGGATCTGCAGCATGACACCCAAAGACCGAAACCAGTGAACTCAAAACAAGACCCTGAACTGCAAACATGTCGCACTATCAGCATCGAGTTTCGAAATAGCACGCATAGGATTCGCTCAGTGTGGCTGCGCAAACACGTTCGCTCTTCCTCAGCAGCCATCTGCAGCGAGGCTGTATATATCTGTAGGATGTACCTATCCAGAAGCGCTGAAACCTAGAACCCTCAAGCCCGTTACTCCTCAGCCTGCAAAATGAAGGGTAGATGAGGCGAGGCTTTGTCGGGTGCGTCTATGCAGTGACGGGGGCCGAAGTATGTAGTCGCAAAGGGCTGCGAGTGTGTTAAGGACTGCATGTACCGGGGACGCGAAAAAGACTGCATCTGTCGGATCGAAGTGAGAACGTTTTAATGGGAACAAGAACTAGTTTTTTGATAACAACAGCAGTTATTGTTGTAGTTATGAAAAAAGTCTTACGGCTAAAGTTCTTATTGCCATCTTAGACAACATCTAACCCCGATGACATGATTGCTGGATGCAGGAGCCCAAGTCTCTTGTAGCCATTGCATGATCCGAACGTACAGGTCCAGATGTCTGCATCACATGCTTCCTGATCCCAGGAGAACCATCCAAGAGAGCCTTAGTCCATCCATCGGGGCATCCGAGATCACAGAACGGGTTGCTTGTGCAATGGTTGTGCCGACAAACTCTGACTTCTAGCAAGGAGTGGCCCCCCATCTCTGTCTATACAAAATACCACAACTTTTCTGTGAATTATGAAGGCTGCTGTGTACCCGGCCGTCAGGCAACATCGAAACAGATCAGAAGGCCCGTCGCCAACCCCTAAACTTCAAAGTAAACCCGACAGCCCTGGATCCCAAATCCCCAAACCCTCAAACTCTCAAGCCGCAATCTTGAAACAGGTCAACCCACAAACCCGAGGGCCCAAATCTCAAGAACTTCAACCGTCAAACCCCACTCCGTTAAAAGGGATCCATACGGGTTCTATAAGGGACTTAAGGTATATACCTTCAACTATAGTAGGATGCCGTTCTTATGATTTAAGGCCAGGTCACCAAAGCAAAAGACTCCGCTCTCCGTAGTGCGAAGGAGGGCCACCTGTCTGAGCTCCTCTGCGGTCACAGAATGCTTCGAGCAAACCCTCAAAACAAGGACAAGACATCCATAGTCTCAGCAGAACCATGTGAGGATATATCTAGCTATGTATACATATATGTATATGATACATATATATATATATATATATGTCGGAAGATACCTACATACGAACATGTCTACAAGTATCCCTTACAGTTGTACTCATGCATACAGGCCTATAGATAGACAACTAAATACTGTAGATAGATCGCTAGCTAGGTAGATAGTATGAGAAAACTGGCAGAAAGCAGAGATAGAGACATAGACAGATAGACAGATAGGTAGTCTATAGACTCTACAGATACAGAAAGCGAAAGCCAGCGAGCGAGCGAGAGCGAGAGAGATAGATAGAGACCGGGAGAAAGCGAGAGAGCATTGATGGAACTGCCCATGTCCTCCCGTCCTCAGGATGCAGGTGGCTGCATTCCGCTGCAGTGGCCCATCGCGGGCACTCGTAGGCATAGACAGGGATGTCGCAGAGTAGCTGCCTCGGTGCGTGATGGATCGTGGGATGTGGTACGCCGGATACATTTAGGCTTAGTAGCATGCAGCAACCAGCACATGGGCAAATTGTGCATCGAGCCTGACTCACAGACATTCGGGACTCCTGCTGAACCACCTGATAGCCCGACAACTCCCGAAACGCAGCTGAGTCTTTCAGGCATGCCCGCAACTAGCTTCACGAAGCAAGTTTACGAGAGCAGACCCAAAACAAACAATGTACCCTGCACTTGGAAAAGTTGTCCACACGATCGTCCCGAACACGACCCTGCAAGAATTCCATTCCCACAACCACCCAATGAAAGCTTAACCTAAAGCACCTAAACCAGGACTCCCAATGGCCATTTAATAGAGCCCTATGGTCCTCAATAGTGGGCATTTGGGATAAGATAGAGGGTACTTGGGGGGTCCAGGAACCCTTTTTTTAAGCACGCACTTGCAGTGTATGCCGTCTAGGAACCCTAAACCCTATACCCGAAAGCTAAGCCCAAAGCACCTAAACACTCAGAATGTCGAAGCCACGATGCGGATCAGGGGGTCCCCTTTGGTTTTGACGCAGGCTCCATGGACCGGGCCTGGGCCAAGATTGGCAGTTGTTGAAGGGCCTTATACATGTGTAGACCTATATCGACATCTATGTCTAAATAAATAAACATATATATATATATGCATATATATATATATATATAGATATATGCATATATATATATACACACATATGCATGTACTTACTTTTCTTGTGTGTATATATAATAATATATACAAGCAGGTACAAACGAGGGACTAAACGCATGTTTAAACAAATAAAAATAAATATAAATATATATATATATATATATATATATATGTATGTATGTATGTATATGTATATGTATATGTATATGTGTGTGTGTGTGCGCGTAACAAACTGTGCGTATATGCACGTATGTATGTACGCATGTAGGTATGTGACTATGTATACAATTTTGTATGTGCCTGTGTGTGTGTGTGTGTGTGTGTGCGTCTTGGGTCTGGGACAGAATCCCACACAGACTTGCAGGGTGAAGGCAGTCTCTACACGGACCTTGTTTTGATGAAGGGTGTCAAACTCAAAGTAGTATGGTTGGGTGCGAGTTCGTCTTGGGAGATATACCGCTTTGGTGTTGCAAGGCTCAGAGTGCGAGGATTTGGGGCTTGGGACACGCTGCAGAAGGCTTCAAGACATCGTCCACATTCACAAAGCCACCTTGTCCGATGGGGACCGGGCCTTACCGTGAACTTGGCATCATCCAGACTTTCACCTGGTGCTGGCAAGTTCGAAATATGCTGCGGGGCCAGAGTGGCAGACATCTTCCATCGTAGAACTTCTACGGCTGATCGCTAACGGACAGTGCGGATTAAGTATCAACCCTAAACTGGCCCTAAAGCCTGAACAACTATTCACTATCATAACCTTTTGTGCGTACTTGCCTGAAGCGTGCCCTCTTGCTGTCACTGCTGCTTCAGTCACGTGTGTCTTTCGGATCGCGGAATCCGTACAAATATGCAGGGTGTCTCACTCTAGGGGAGAAAAAGAATTATCGGTTGCCAGGCGACCACCCCGTCGGCCATCAAAGCATAGCCCCAGCGCTTGATTCCTGAGTCGGAGTCAAGGAATAAGACATCCCTCGACCCTCAGATCAGTTCTGTGAACCCAAAGTTGGAAGCTGTCCTGACGCACAAAGTGTATAGGATCGGGTAAATGTCTAAGCTACCAGCCGGCACGTAATGTTGCTATCCTACGAAGGTTAGGGTCAACAGGTTACATCTTGCAGGGCTTCGCCATGCCTGCAATTACCGGGACGGAGGAGGGTCAAGGGTAGAGATCATGAGTTGGCTTAGCTTCTGGTAGGTGCTGCGCTCGACCAAGAAGATGTAGCCCTCGTACCCTGAGGTCGCATGAGACATGCATTTGACTGCACCAACATCCATGTAGTGGGGGGGGGGCATGCATAAGCCTCGTGAACCTTTTGCCCGATCCGTGATAGCCCTGAATCTTGAGCCCTCACAAAAAACCCGAGAGCTCCAGAAGCACGTGGCTTTCAGCAGAAGACCTCCAACGCTGGCGAGGGCGACGGTCAGAACAGAAAGAAAGGCCGCGAGAACTGATAAACGACGATCCGCACCATCGGGTGGCATCGTCCGATGCTCATGAGCTGGGACTCGTTGCCGTCTATATTTGCTTGTTAAAGTCTTGCTTCTCCAAAGCTTGCTCTCTAAATAGACTTCAGCTGCTTTGCCTAGAGGTCGCCCGAGCTTGCTGGCCGCACTTTGTGTTAGCCCAAGAAGCTCCATCATGCAATCGCAACTTGGAGGGGGGTCACTTGAGCCTGTCAGTGAGCTGTTCTTAACAGGCAGAAACGCTGCTAAGTTTCTTTTCATGCGGCGTCAGGGATGCACAAAACTCGACTGCCGACTTGAAATCAAGGGCTTCCAAGTCGCTGCAACACGCTGCAACTCACTATGCACCACAATGGATTTGACCCCGCAACGCAATAAGGTCGCGCAAGTGACGCAGCGAAATTAATGCTTCTTCTCGCTCCCTGTTGCCTCGTTTCATCTGCTTCGGCAGCTTGAATTCGCTGCTGGAGAGGGTCCACCTTAACCTGGCATTGGCAAGTTCCGGACTCAACCATTCCGCCCACGACTCCCCCAGCTTTCAGCAGTTCCTTCTGCAAGAACCATTGGAAACCAAAGCGCAGACCTTTTGCCTCCAGGGACCTTCCATGACGAGAGCCTACAGCACAAATAAGAGCATAGAGCGTGTGGCCCCTGAGCCTCGCCCTCAAGCCCCAAAGAACAGTCAAAGCGGTTGACAAAATAACAAACGAAGCGGCTGTGGGACAAAGCAAACCCCTACTTGGGCTCTGGGGGGCCGAAATCAAAATAGTTAGCACATGCTAAAGCCTAACTTGTACAAACATCCTTAGACTCCTCAACCCCACCCATGCCCAAAACTAGAAGATAAGTCTACCAGGTACCCCCTGATCATCAGTATCCATAGACCCCAACCCGGACAAACTGGGCCGGGCCTTCGGCTTTTTCGGGCCCCGGAGGCTGTTCTTCGACACTTGCGGCCTCGACTTCGGAGACTTCGGGTGGGGTGTGGCGTTTCGGGTGGGGGCTCTGATATTTTGGGGTTGAGAAACTACGACTACAGGTATAGGGCTCAGAATTTAGAGGTCTCGGGTCGCGATTACAAAATCCGACACATTGGCTTAAGGCCTTGTTGTGGCCGTCTGCGTGGGACCCAAGGCTGAAGCAAACCTGAATCCCGTACACCATCATCAGTTAAGGCTTCTTGCAGACGGACAGTTTTTGATGCTCTCTCCAGGAAGAAATCCATCAATCGTGACAGCCCCAGCCCCAAACTCCAAAACCTTAGATCCTGAACACCGCACAAGAGTGCTATCACCCAAACCGCGACATTGAGCCATGGACTGGAGTCCTGACCAAATCGTTGAACCGGGACCGGTTTTTGCAGCCGGGACCGCGGTCTAAACCCCGATACCCTGAGCCCTGAAACTGTAAACTCCGAAGCCCTTATCCCCAAACCCTAAATCCTCTGAAAAGCCAAGACTTGGCTCAGGGCTGAAGCTTGTCTTCTGGCGGGAAGATGAGGCATCCTAGGAGGCTCACCTTCCATGGACGTAAGTGATTTAGGGAGGGATGGGTTCGGGGTTTTCCGGGATCAGGGCGACAAAAGCCACGGAAATTTCAGGTTTAGGTTGAGGCTTAGGGGCTCCCATGCGAAAAGTTTGGGGTTTAGGGCCTCGGGAACCGCAGGTGAAGGATCGGCCACGTGTGGAGAGCTCATGCCATGCCCTGGGTTCAATGCACAAGTAATGGGATTCAATCTCTTAAAGCATTCAGGAGTTTAGGATCGTTTAGGACTCAGGTTCAGCTTCAAATTTTCCTGCTAATTTCACACTGTACAATAGCTTGGCCGAAATCTTCCTAAACCACAATACGTGCTTCGTTGGGACTCTGAAACGGCGGGAAGTGCTTCCCGGGCGGGGGCGGAGGTAAAGCACTGCAATTCACCTGAAATTGCAATGCTGAAGTATACCGCGGCATATCCCAACCCGACCGTATCGAAGTGCAACAATCGTCTTTCTTTGCGTGCCTCCAAGCCCTTCGCTGAGATGTTGAGGTTGCACTGCTTGTCCTGGCTGAACCGTACAGGGTTTGGGGGCTTAAGGTTTTATATGGTGAAGGCTTTTAGGGTCGGGGGTTAGGGTTCAGGTTTTTACCTGCTGAGGGCTTTCTTCAAGTCAAGGGCATCGTGCGTGTACGTTTCGTTTACATAAGCCTGGTGGTCTGGTGTTTGGTGGGTGGTGTCGACAAGGATCGCACCGGGAACAAGTACACTCTTCTGATAGTAGATGCCAGGAACCCTACCCATCCAACATTCCCTGAGCATCCCATATTGATTATTACAGTCAATAGCTTGATTTTGATGGTCCGCAGAACCAATAGAAACTACTGATTTTTGGCATCGACAATCAATATGTACAAAGAAATAGAACAATCAATATGCAAATCAATATGAAAATCAAGATGTACATATATGTATACATACCATTGTATAATGCTAATATGCATAATGAAATACATATGAGTATACATGAAAAATATGTATATGTGTGTGCACTGCGTCTGTTTTTAAATACACGGATATTCAAATAGGTTAAACAGGTATATTACGCTACCTCCGTGAAACATCGTCCGGGCCCGCCTCGAAATCAAATATCCGGAAATTGGCAGATCATTGGTGGGTTTGGGGTTTAGGATTTTGGGGTTTAGGGCCGGGTTTAAAGACCGAGCCAGCCCTCCAGCCTTCCTCCAGCCCCAAGCCCCAGCACTCCAGCTTTGCCATCCAGCCCAACTCCAGCCCTCCAGCCTGCCAGCCTTCCCCAGCCCTCCAGCCTTCAGGAGGCCTTCCAGCCTTCCTCAGCCAGCACTCCAGCCCTCCAGCCTTCAACCCCTCCAGCCCTTGCAGTCCTCAAGCCTTCCAGCCTTCAACCCCTCCAGCCTCAAATCCCTTCCAACCTTCAACCCCTTCCAGCCTTCAACCCTCCAGCATTCCAGCCTTCACCTTTTTAAAACTGAAGGCTCGATCACGTCATACTGGGATTTAAATATACGGATTTAAACAAATATTTTATACTACCTCTGCGGCCAGTGCGGCTGGCCGGGCCCCCATATATTAAAAAAACGTCACCGCTGTGGGTATGGAAGACTGTAATGTAGAGGCGTGGGGTATAAAGGTGTCGGGGTAAGGGGTTTTTAGGGGGTTAGGGGCAGAAGGATTTAGGGCTATAGGGGAGGTTCACAAACATCGAGGTTTAGGGCTCTAGGGGTTCAGGGCTAAAGGGGCTAAAGGGTATGGCGCTTGGGGCGTAGGGTCGAACCCTACAACCCCTGCGCGCGAGCGCTACGCCGTTGTTCGAGTTCGGTGTGAAACTAGTTTACAAGAATGCTGCCTTGGCGTCCCCATGTTCCGAAGATCGTGCGTCCCCGTTCCTACTGTGTCCCGGTATCCCCGCCCTGGCCAGCATGCTGGTATCTGTGCTCGTGACTGTTCCACAGGTGTTTGGCTGTGTTGCAGCCTGGTTTCAGCCCCCGGCTCGATAGAACAACAGTACTTAGCAGCTTCCGGCGACGAACAAGACAAGTTGTTGGCTGGGGCTGACTCTCGAGCTGTGTCCCTACCTGCAGTGCTACGGTTTGGTGGATTGTTGCTTGTACCAGTGCAGGTCTCCGGGGTCAGGAAGCAAACAGCAGGGTGGGTTAAAAGCAGGATAGGTTTGTTGCGATGGGTGCTGGTGGTGGTGGTGGTGGTGGTGGTGGTGGTGGTGGTGGTGCTTGTGCAGTACTAACTAACCCTTTCGGACGACGCCTGCAAAACTTCAACAACAACCGGCTAGCAGGAGTCCCCGTGTGCCCCGCCAGTCTAGTGTGGGTCAAAGGTTGCATGCATGCGTCTTCTACGGTGAGTGGTCCGAAGCTTCTCCCGACTCAGACCCGCTCAGAGAGGTGGCTTGTCCCGGGTCGTGTAGTAGGGCTCGTAGTCGGTGGTTCGCCGTGGTCCCCGTCGGTGCCCGCAGTGTGACTTCTGCGTGGGTGCCCCCAAGCTTCATCTTCTGTCTCTCGGGATCAGCGGCGTGGCCGTCTCCCAATTGACAACCAACCGCACGGAAAACACAGTTTCCGTCCCCAGCCACGGATTCGACCTCGTAGCCTGCCGCGGCCAACACCCCAACGTCCTGTTGGATGCGCGCTGTCCACTGCATGGTCCATGGGACTGGGGACAGGGGCCGCTGGGGAAGGGCAGCCGACCAACAGTCGAAGTTGGTCTTTGAGGCCGTTGATGGTCTCCGTGAGGCTTTTCCGGGTCCGCTTCACACCCAAAGCGGACCCCTTCAGCCGTGAGCGCTGGTCTTCCAGACGCTTGATGTTTGACTGACGTGCCTCCTTCCTTCCAGTGCTGGCGGCGGCGGTTGCTGACATGCTGGCCGCAAAGTCCTCGGTAACTATCTCTCCCTCTCTCTCTGTCTTTATCTCTTTCTTTAGCTGCTTCTCTCTTCACTCTTCGTTCCCGATCCTTCCGTTGCGTTTATTCTCTCTTTCTCTCATTCTATCTCGCTTTCTGCTAGGAGGGGCTCGGATGCATCTAGGTCCCGCAAAGCTATGAAGCAGTACAGATTGGAGTCTGTACTGCAGGACACTTTAGTGTTCTCAAAGCCAAACGTAGCGTAGGGCAGCGTGGGGCACAGTAGGGTGTGGCATGAGATATCCGCCAGACAGGTTTTTGCGAGCACTGCTTGAACACATTTAGTCACTTTCACGTTGTGATTGCTGGCTGTGTTGGACAAGTGAGGCCTGCAAGGTTTGACATGGAACATGGCCACATCATCTCTGTGTCCGTTCAGAACCATCCATCGATCCCTCCATTCATCCATCGCATGTCGTACACGGGCGTGTATCTATGCGTCAATGAGTGTCTGTCAGTCTTTTGCTTTTCCCTCTCACTCCGGATCAAGAGCGAAGCTTGAAGGGCTGAAGTCTGGCACAAGGAACACGAATCCCCGAATCAGCCACGCAAGAGCCTTGGTTTCAGGAACAACTTCGCCGGCATCAACGTCAACGCGCCACGCTGTCGCCTGGGCTTCAGGTTGCTCTCGGAATCCGTATACCCACTCCACGTGGCAGCCCAGAAAGGTGCTCCAGCAGCATGCTGGCCGGCTTCCTGTTGTAGTGCTGAGATGTGCTGAGCCCAAAGGGTCCAAGTATCATTATGGTATATACTTAGACCCCCAAAATACCCTATAAGTATATACAATAATGATATTTGAACCCTTTGGAAAGATGCAGGACAGGCTTCGAACAATTTTCGGCCTGTAAGGTTTCGGGGGTAAAGCTACGCGGGGTAGGATTTGTGGCAAGCGCTCTCGCGACCTGAGAGACACCCTGAACTGACGGGCTGCATTTGCGAGTGAGAAGCCACCGCAATGTTTTTTCGTTCGATACTCTGATACCTCTCCTCACTTCAAGCTTTCTTCTGTCTTGTTCTGAGCAGCTTCGGTGATAACCGCAGAGCCTGCGCGCAGCTCACATCAATGTAAGCCATCTG